AACAAGCATACCATTAATATCGCGCAATAATTAATAAGTACAATTACACCCAATTAAATCAAGTCCTTCAAATAAATGTCTTTCACATATAATTCTTCCAAATAATTCTCTTTCAAATATTATTTTCTCAAATAATTATTTTTCAAATATAATTCTTTCAATAAATCTTTTCAAATATAATTCCCTCAAATAAATATCTTTCAAATACAATTCTTTCATATAATTCTTTCTAAGTAAAAATCCTTCCAAATAAATATTTTGAATATAATTCTTTTAATTAAAAAGTCACCATGTGACACCTCATTTCATAATCATAAAAATACGGGTCTCAGTCCATTTTTATATTTTTCATAAACACAAGTGTCAGCCCATTTTTCATGTTTCCACGGTACCTCGTGCCCATAATTAAATCATCATATTTCCCCGGCACCTCGTGCCCTCGTTTCATATCACAACCGCACGGACAATTCACGTACCAAATATCTTTATTATTTACTCACGGCACCTCGTGCCCCCATTTCATTTTATAATCCGCCTGGCCATAGCCACATGCTCTCACTTTCAACATAAATCAGATTGTTATCATTTTACCAACAACAAGACAAATTGCACAAGGTATAAAAATAAACACAAAAAAATCACAACATCACATGAAAATCATCAACACCACAACCCCACATCATCATATATCGTCCCTGACAATAGCCAACCTTATCGCTCCTATTGCCACCCTTATCGCTCCTATAGCCACCCTTATCGCTCCGCCCAGACAATATCAATAGCCACTCTTATCGCTCATATTGCCACCCTTATCGCTCCTATTGCCACCCTTATCGCTCCGCCCAGATAATATTCTAACAAACACAACAAAAATGAAATGCCACCCTTATAACCACATAAGATCAACGGTGAAGTACCACCCTTATCTTCCCAAAATAACAACTCACACAACACAACAATTTACACGGAAAATTATTACAGCAACATAACAAAAATTAATTCATATCACAATTTGTCCAATGGCCACAACCAAATTCCAAAGCTACAATCAAGTCAATTAATTTCACAACAAATAGCCAAAAGCTCCACACAATGCTTACAACACCCAAAAACAATCAACAGAGATAGAAATTACTCAACATAAAGCAAAGTCTTCATAAAAATTAAATTTTCAATAATTATATCAACACCTCTTCTTAAGCTCATTTAATTAATTATTTTGCAAAGGGAAAAATCCAAAATGAAATTTAATTCCAATAATTATCAAACCAGTAAATTCACGAAATTTCATAAATAATCAAAATCACATCAAATTGTCATATAACAACAGAGTCAATAACAAGGATTTAGGCACGACAAGTAGATGATTAAATATATGCCAACAATTATCTAATTTACTACACAATATGCTCAAGATTTTAACTCAAAAAAAAATTGCACATATAAACCAAGTACGTACTCGTCACCTCGCGTACATGGTTTTCAATTACACAATTTGCACATAAGACTCAATGCCTAAGGAAAAATTTCCCTACTCGAGATTAAGCAAGACACTTACTTTATTGAAGTTATGCCGATATTCCAAAATCGCTTTCTTGCTTGAATTTGACCTCCGGACAGCTCAAATCTATCCAATTCAATTGTATAATTTCATTAAAATTCATCAAAAATAATTCCGGATAATAACACGTCGACTTAAAAATTTATTCCAAAAAGTCAACAATAGTCAACGCGGGGTTCGCCTCTCAGAACCCGACATATTTTTCATGAAATTCGAACATCCATTCCGATACGAGTTCAACCATACTAATTTCATCAAATTCCGATACCATTTCGTCCCTCAAATCGTGATTTTTCACTTTGAAAAGTTTTCTTCAAAAACCAACATTTTTCGCAACTCAAAACACAATTTAAATGATAAACATAAAGATAGAATCATGGGAATAAATATATTCTAGGTGAAGAACACTTACCCAATTGATTTACTTGAAAAACCCACAAGGAATCGTTCAAATCCGAGCTCTATAAGTCAAAAATGTGATAAAAATGGCCTAACCCTCGATTTGGAAATCTTATATTCTGCCTAGGTGATTGTGCATCGCGAATGCACAGAAAGGATTGCGTTCGTGAAGAAGAAAAATGAACTTCCCAGTTGTGCTTCGCAAACACGATGGGTTGTTCGCGAACACGGAGAGGAAAAATCTAATGGCCCACGACTGACTTACGCGAACGCGAGCAAAGGGCCGCGAACGCGAAGAATAAGAACAGGAAACCTTCGCGAACGCGAAGAATAAGAACAGGAAACCTTCGCGAACGCGAAGAAGAAACATGAGGCTACCATGAAGAGCTTCGTGAACGCGAGTGTCTAATCGCTAACGCGGTGGAGGAAAAAACAAACCTTCACGAACGCGATGGGCTGAACGCGAACGCGAAGAAGAAGTATAAGGTGGTCAGCAGTAACACTTCGCGAACGCGTGGTGATCTTCGCGAACGCGAAGAAGAACACCAGAAAATAGAAAAAATAGTTCAAAAATAGAAGGAAATTGTCTGTAGCCCATCTGAAATACACCCGAGGCCCCCGGGCCCCTGTCTAAACATACCAACAAGTTTCACAACCTAACACGGACTTGCTCGAGGTCTCAAATCACATCAAATAACGCCGAAAATATAAATCGCACCACGAATCAAACTTATGACCTTCCAAAACCTCCAACTTCTAAAACTCGTGCCGAAACCTATCAAAGCAACCCGGAATGATGTCAAATTTTGCAGGCACGTCTCAAATGACATAACGGAGCTGTTCCAACTCTCGGAATCGCATTCCGACTCCGATATTAAAAAGTTCATCCCCGGTCAAACTTTTCAAAATTTTGAGTTTCGCCATTTCAAGCTTAATTCCACTACAGACCTCCAAATAATTTTCTGGACACGTTCCTAAGCCCAAAATTATCATACGGAGCTAACGGAACCGATGGAACTCCATTTCGGAGTTATCTTTATACAGTTCCGACTACGGTTAAAATCATAAGACTTAAGCTCCCTTTTTAGGAACTAAGTGTCCCAAATCACTCTGAATCATCCGTAAATCAAACTCGACCACATACGCAGGTCATAATACATATTGCGAGGCTGCTCTAGACCTTAAGTCACTGAACGGGGCGTAAATTTTTAAAATGACAAGTCGGGTCGTTACAATACCACATAAGATGCATCTATGAGATGGTTGCATGTGCGATTATTATTAACCTGCAGCATGGTGTTTGCGAGGTAACTTGCTCAATAATTTAATTTCGAGCATAATTTTCATATTTTCTATTTAAGATAGTTCATCTTGATAAGTTGGTTTACATCACAGTTGGTTTAGCAAAATGATTTATTGAGTGCCTCCACTTAATAGTTAAACTATTGCTTATGAGAACAAAGTTATCTATATCAGTTTGATATTGTTTATATACGAAAGTATATTACATTCTCCCCTTACAAGTGGTTCATGGTCAGGAACCAAATAATTTTGATCTTATTATTATTATTGATGTGCGGTGTATAGTTTGATTAACACTATAACATACAAAGATGGATTTTCAAAGTTGAGAAAGTAAATTAGTTTTTCTAACATAAGGAGGAGACAGGATGAACAATTGAGAAAAAGTTACGTAGAATGAATTATCATTTGTACATCAATATCCTCGAATAAGATAATATGAATTTGAATTTCATAAAAAGACAATTCATCTGTAATATATTGCAAAGCATGCCAGACGCATTTGCTGACCCAAAGAAAATAACTATATTCTTACTGGAGATGCTCATATTATAATAAGTTCTAGAAGGACAAAGTTTATGGTACGCTTAAAGTGTATAGACAAATCAGTTTCAAATAAAGTTCTTGGTAAAGAAGATGAGCAAATGATCAAAATAATCATAATAAGGAGGCAAGTGATCTAGAGGATCACATGACATAATACTTTATAAAATCTCAAAAGAAGTTCAGGTACCTGAAAATATGAATGGAGAGATCTCTATGTTATATATTTATGAAAAAATAATGTTGGAACCGATATAAAATATTCGTCAACGACATCTATGATAACGCTAAGTATAGATGAGGATCTTAAGTTTGTCAAATATAGACACAAAAATATTGGCCAAACAGAAGAGACAGAATTCGAATAAAATTGGTTTCATATGAAAGACATGTAATTTTGGACCTGCAGTTCAAACACTTGAAAGTATAAAGTTAATGGTGTGTGCAATTATCTTTATATATCTTATATGTCTAGCATGACATAAAAACTCGATATGCATCTAAAGTCTATTCATATGGCTTATATGACTTAACTTATATGACAATCCCTGAAGGATTTAAATTGCTTAAAGCATATAGAATTCTAGGTCATGAAGTACTACATCCTAAGTGCAATTTGTGCACATTTATATCTTGCTATAAATATAAGCATGATAATGTGATAGTGAGAATTTTTATCTCTATGGAGATATTGAAAAGATCATTTCACGATATTATATGAAGACATTATATATCTATCAAGAATAATTATTTCAAGGTGCAGCATATTCATTGGAATTAATATGGTTGAGTTGTTCACCAAATCTCTACCGATGTCAACCTTCAAGAAGGTAGTGTACAAGATTGGGATGCGAAGGCTCAAAGATGTAAATTGATGCTCTTATCATGGGGAGTTAATACGCGTTGTACTCTTTTTCCTTACAAGGTTTTGTCCCACTGAATTTTTCTTGCAAGGTTTTTAACGAGGCAACCAAAAGGCGTATTTCTAAACATGTGTACTCTTTTTCCTTCACTAGAATATTTTTTCATTGGTTTTATTTTAGTTAAGGTTTTAAAGAGGCATATTATCTATTGAATATACATTCAAGGGGGAGTATTATAAATGGAATTGTATTTTGAGGTGAATACCTATATTTTAGTAAATAAAGCAACCATGTTCAAAGCCCACTTTACAACTCTAAAATTTACATGTTTCGCATCTCATGAGTCTCACTCACTGTATTAACATTAACAGCACAACCTGGACTTTAACTTTTGACAACTGGAAGTTAACTTTGGTGATAAATGATAATCTACGTAAAAAATTATACACCCTCTGGTAAGATAAATGTTCTTCCTTCTCATAGTTTTGTGTAGCAACGGCTTTTCTTCGTAGAAAGTAGTGAAATCAATGAAACCCAGCAGAGCACTGAACGCCGAAAGCAAGGAATTTCAGGTCAATTAATAAGTGTAACACGATTTTGCACTAATTCATAAATTTGTAGATAGAAAGTTAAGAATTTTACTGATAACAGAGGAAATCCCAAATTTTAACTCAATATCTAATAGTGATGGAGAATTCATGGGAAGGGATATTGTAAAATTAGGATTCTTTTTGGGGAAAATTGGTAGATCGTGCTAGGGTTTGTGAATTTCAGAAATTGATAAAATTTGGAGTTTTATCTTCTTCATCCTCAATAGTCCAGAAAGAGGGTCGTCATTCATGTAGCTAAGGGCTCAAAGTTAACTCCTTTTCACTGTAAGACCTTCTTCGGCGCTTCATTTGCAGTCTTTATGATTATTTTGGTTTGAAAATTGTTTTAGCGTCTGTTGATTTTGGTCTGTTAATCAATATTTCATTTTTTTAATGGATATTATGAGTAGTAGGGTTGGGTTCATGTTGATTTTTGTTTTATCTAAACCTGTCGAATGTTGAAGTATAGCTGTTTGCAACAGAGTTTAAACACAATTCATTACTGCTAAAATATTGGCAATATAAGAGTTTTTGCTTGGCTGAAGTTTTATTATTGAGCATCAATAAATCCCCTAAAGATTATGTTGTACAAACTACGTCATTGTGCCCGGGCTATAGACAGGCAACTACCCATTAAACTATATTAGAAGTGCAAGTTAACATGTGAGACAGGCGGCTCTTTCTCGACATCTCTGCTTGCCGAGGACATTGGTGTTTCAAAAAAAAATTCACGGTAATTGGCAGCTACCTCTACTAATAATCGCCGCTTCAGCTTTAAGTTTATCCTTTTGCTTTGCATTTTTTGGTCACTTTTCCTTTGGATTTAGCTACCCTATTTTGTAATTTGTATAATCTTTGCGTGTTTGTCGAAGCTAAATTTTCAGAGACGAGCTAAAGGCCAAAGAATTTCAACGCGTCTGATGATAACTTACGATGGGTAGAGGCTATGTCCAGTGGATTGTGTTTATCTCAGGTTTGCTGAGAAACTAAATTATTTTCTTAAATTCTCTTACAATCAAGGTTTGTTAGTTGTGATTATAATCTTATTTATTGGTTTGATCTACATATATTTTGAATTTTTACCCTATTCAAATGAAGGCCAAGGTTTAGGTGGACTCATTTGGTCATCTTTTTGCAACATTGGTAACGTCGTCTTCCGCCAGCTGCACTTGTACTCTGTCAAGGTAATTACATGGGTTTAAAAGTTTTTCCGCTTTTATGTTGTGTCTTTTACTAAAATAAAAGCATACCTTAATCTCTTTATGTACTAAAAAGAAGTTAACTCAAAGGTAATCTTCTTCCCAGTAAAAACAAATAGAAAAACAGAGGACGCTATGTAAACTCAGAATTATATCAATATCAACTTCAAGGATAAAAGAAGGTTTTCCTGCCTATTGTTAAAAGCCTTTTTTGGGATTGGGATCATTGATATAAAAAAGTTTTTGGTTGACATCATACTAGAAGTACCGTGAAACTAACCGAGTTCCAATATGGTAACTTCTTTTTCTATCTCTATTGTATTTCTTAATTTTCTATTGAATATCCCAGTATATTTTATTGATTTGATCAGTTTTACTACTACGATATTAGAGAGTAACTCAAACAGGTGTTGAAAGTATTGCTATTTGTGTTACAATGCAAGAAACTCTCTCCCAGGTCATTCCCACTTTCATCCTCTTTCTCAATCTATCTTCTGGTTCTACTTCTGAGATTTGATCTGTGTGTTCTGCGGCTCTCGATGGCCTTTTGCAGTAATCATATCTGCTTACTGTAATTTTTCATAATATAATTTAATTTGTTTTATGGGAAACATGCCAAACATTCAATGTTTGGAATTACTCAAAGCTACCAACGACGTTTTCTTCTTTTACTTCCTGTGTAGCGCTTATTTAGAAATATTTCTACCAGTATTGCCAAAAGGTTATATCTATTTTTTTGACTTATACTAATTCGACTCCATATTTTCCTTTTGGTTTTCTGCTGTGTTTGATATATGTAACACTGAAGTTTTACACTTTGAAACCTCACCGCATAATGATAATTCTACTTTTGAAAAGATTTTTGTTTTTGTCAATGAAGTTTTAGAATAAAAAGAGTTCGCCAGAATGTTTTAGACAATTTACTTGTAGTTCAGCAGATGCACTAATAAAATACATCTTTTCCTTGAAGAACTTGCAGAATTACAGAAACTTAGCCAAATAATTTAACATAGTAATTCTAAAGTCATTTGTACTTATTTTGGCACTTTCTGTTTCAATAATTGTTAATGTTAACGGTTTAGATGCACTATTTGATGGAGAACTTGTGATGTTTGTAGCAAAAGTACTCAACTAAGAACTCTAAGGAGCAACAACTGAAAGAACTATGATTTTGGTCATTTCAATGATTTCCTCTGCAGAAGACTACTTGGTTCTTTTAAATGAAATTAAAAGTTTGATTCTTTGTTAGTGAAGAACATAGCTTTTTAACTTGGTTGTTCGTGATATAAGAAAGTCTGTAAAAAAATGAATTATGTCTTCAGTATTATCATTGGTCAAATTATCATTTGGAGACTTTCTATGGATATATCTGCTAAAGATGGATATATCTGCTATCTCACCTTAGACCAAGTATTAGGTGATTAAAACCCAAATTCTTTTTTTTTCTTACATTCTTTTTCTTTTCTTAACATTTGAATATTCACGTTCTTAGTATATAGATTGTGGATATATCACTAAGCAAAGCTATAGATGTGATTGGTGCGAAGTGTGGGAAGTCATTCTGCTGGTGTTGTGACAACATTTTATGCAAGTTCAGAAAACTTTGTGAATGAAATGAAAAATCAGTACATATAAATGGGTGTAATGGGGATTTTAATTTACATTGGGTGCAAATGTGCTCGGAAGTTGAGGCAGGGCCGTTGAGAGGAGAGATACATTTTGAGTTCTTGGGAAACAGAACATAATAGCTTTATCTTATTCAAAGCTAGAGCAATATTTTTGTAGACATGATTCAATTGATAAAACAAATCATGTTGTATCCTCTTTTGTCTAATATTTTCCGTTATTGGTTTACATTTATGGTTCAGTATATTAAGGCCAGACACTTGTGCTATTTTGCCTCAATTGATAAAACAAATCATGTTGTTCCTTTATTTGTAAGAAATTTGTAAAAATTAAATAAAGTATAACCAGTTTTGCGACAAGTTCCTCAAGACTAATCAATGCACATTTATTTATTGCTATTCAGATTTTCACATTTGGCCATTTTCATCATACACCTAACCTAATTAGAGAGGACTGTAAACCACAAATAGAAAGTTTTTTTTATTTATTTTTGGAACCAAATAGAAAGTTGAATTTCACTCTTCAAGCATCCTCTGCTTCTGAATTTGCGACATTTGCCCTCCAGGAATAAAATATGATGAATTGACCACTATACTAATGGTTGTTAATTTGATTAGCTGTAAAGGGAACCCCCCTCAAGAAATAAATATACTACGCTAATTGCTATCAAATACATATATATGAATAGGCTTTCATTATCCGCTCGAAATATTTAATGAGTTAATTTGTGTGATCGAACTGCTTTGTTTTTAATATTAAAGAAACATGTGTAGTAGGGCGTCAACCTAACCTCCCTGAACATAAGATAGAAAAAACAAATAATATATTTACATATACTTTTAAACGCGTGTAATATAAAAGTCTAAATATCATCAAAAATATATTGTATCTTTTCCTTTAAACAATGTTAAAAGACGCTGATATATAGGAGCACCCCTCTAGTTCATTCCTAAATAATATCACATCAGAGTTCAAACCTTCCGGCCGTTTACAAATACAATACAATAAATTCCCTACACAAATATTTATGAGAGAGTATTTCGACAATATCACATCAGAGTTCACATTGTCATATTGCACGTGCAAAAGTAGAAGAAAATCCCTATTAACGAAAGATTATCGAAGCTTTTATCAGTAACTATAAATTACTACTCATTATTTTTGTTTACAGTAAAAATTCCAGCTAAATTAATTAATCATTTTGACATACTAACAATTAAGAGAGATCAACAATGAAATTGTAAGCCAGACTAGAACAAGACACGAGGCCCAAATAAACATTGTATTGGGGTTGGTGGGGTGCGCCAGGCCCATGCTATAGTGCAATACCTAAGCGACGCTCGAGAGCCCAGATAGCAAGCTACCTTAATAGACTCTCCCCCTTAAAAATTTAAATTAATATCGTGTGAAGCGATAGTCCACATATCAGATATTAAACTGATAAGAACAGATACTACACTTGATCTTAGCCAAAAAGGCCGAGAAAGGTATGCTTTGAACTGTTTCTTCCGGCCCATCTTATACGAAGCTCGTTCCTTTAGCTTTTGTTAAAATTCCGATGTGGGAGAAAAGAGCAGTCAACAACACAATATAAAGGAAAATCATATGCTCAAAAGAAAAAAAGGAACATACATTCAAGGAAATAAATCCCAGCAAATATCCCACGAAATATTTGATAAGAATTGGGAAAGCATAAAGAATATTGAGACGGAAAAAATCATAACACTCTTTCTTTTTCTAGGCAAATTTTGTATTACATATAGTAGTATTTGTAATTGTATGTATAATAAAAAGCTATAATTTCTTTGGCACCTTCTGCTTCCCTAATAAATATAAAGACAATAAAATCTTATTTTCATTTACTTTTCTGATGGAATATAGTAGTATATATAATAAGATTATGTTCATTCTTACTGTTTTGTTATAATAAGTTGTAACAACTTATTTGCACGGAGGGGAAAGTTCAAAATTTCTTTATGATTTTTAATTTGGGACCAACTCACTTATCTTCTTTTTTAAACATGATATAGTTTCTTCTCTCAAAATTCAAACTAATACTATGAATTATTAGTAAACACGTGTATAAGCTGCTAACCTCAATATAACAGTTTTTTTAAACATAATTTTCTTAAAATCAGACGTCAAACGAAGTTTAATTATTGAAATGTAGAGATTATATGGTTAGGTGTCTACCTTCTTTCACATTATAAATTAAGAACTTTACTTATAGGTTGAATTGCATTTATACTAAGGAGTTAGGTTTTCAGATGAAAATTAAAAAGATAATTAAGTTTTTATGTTTATAATTTGACATGTGTGTTTTCGGCAATAATTTTTAACTTTCCCTTTGGTGGAAATGCCATCACCTTCTTCCTTTGATAAAAAAAAGTAGTGTGCACAAATCATGTATTCAAGTAAGGTTCAGGGAAGTACTGTTCCTTAGATATGTGATGTTGATAGTCCACCTATCATGTATTCAAGTAGGATCCAAGTATTAGTAATTGTTTTTACATAGGTGTTACGATCCAAAATTCTCATCTTCAGGATCGTGATGGCGTCTAACATTTTACTTGCTAGACAAGCCAACGTTAAAATAATCTTAACTATTTTAAAGCAAATTTAATTAAATACCGAATTATCAAAATACATCCCCGAATCTGGTGTCAAAAGTGCACGATCTACTAGAATAATACAAATAAAGGTCTGAATAAAATTCAAGTTATTTGAGAGATAATACACGGCTGAGATAAAATAGAAAGGGACTTCAGAACTGCGAACGTTGTGCAGTTATACCTCAAGTCTCTTCTGAATAGCTGAATCCGAGCACGTCTATGGTACGCTACTGGGACCAACTCCAAAATCTGCACAAGAAGTGCAGAGTATAGTATCAGTACAACCGACCCCATGTACTGGTAAGTGCCGAGCCTAACTTCGACGAAGTAGTGACGAGGCTATGACAAGACACGTACATAATCAACATGTACAAGTATATACAAATACAAAGTAACAAGAATACAATAAATAATAATTTATCAATTGGGAGGGAACATGCTAAGGGAAATGATATAATAATTTCAGCAAAAGAAGTGTCACTTAGCAGCCAATTAATTCATTAACAATAAAATGAGCAAATGATAATATGAAAGTGGCACGGCACCACCCTTCGTGTTTTTACTCTCATTTGGCACGGCATCACTTTTCGTGCTTTTACACTCTCTGAAAATGACACGGCATCACCCTTCGTGCTTTTACACTCACAAATGGCATGACATCACCCTTCGTGCTTTTACACTCTTCCTTACCATGACAATGATATTATGAATAATTAAAATGGCACAGCATCACCCTTTGTGTTTTTACGCTCTGCCTTACCATAAAAATAATAATATAAATTCGGAAGAGTATTTAAATGCGAGGGTATACACGTATCAATCAATTCAATACCAGAATACTGACTTCACCTTCCAAAATATTCAACAATAATTAAATGAATAATAATTTCACGATTAATGATCAAATAATCAATAATAAACTTAAGCAGTAGTATCTTAATTAAATAGTGTATTTAGTATTAAAAAATATTCTTCATTGAATGTCATCGGGTGACAATCATTCGTTTGTCTTTATTGATAATATTCCCTTCGGGGTCTACCCGGTGCCAATCGAAGCTGACGTACCCAGGTCTTGATTTTCACGTGCCTCGATTTTCGTCTGTCTCCGATTCCACGTGTCGCTTTATTATTCGAGTATTTAATACGAACCGATTTTACCCTATAAACTCATGCTATGGATATTCCCACTTAAGGAATTCTTTTTTAAGTTATAAGTACGAAATATTGCAAGCATTGATGTTTTTATAAAGTAAACGATGCAGATATTATGTTGACAAATCTTGTGAAAAGCAATAGTATTCAGCCCGAGAAGTTTCAGTTATGTTTTTGGATCTTTTGTGCCAAGGAGATGATGTTGGTTCAATCTTGAAATCATAATTCTAGATGTGGGCTTTATAGTCTTAACCTTTTGGGCAGGGCGACATATTTTTACTTTCTCATCACATTGGTTGTGTTAAAGGAAAACATAGAATGCCCAACTAATTAGTGTTATCCGTAAAACAGTATAGTTGAATTTCTAGCGTGGTTTATAAACAAGCGAATCGATTTGACTCAAAAATGATAAGCAAATGAGAACAAAAATAAGATTATCAAATGTAATTGAAGAAGATAATAAGTCTGACAAAGAACTTAGCCTTTCTGATGACAAGAGTGAATGCAATGTTCAAGTGTTCCAATTGAGTGTAATAAGGTAATAGATTATAGTTTTTTGTGTATAGAGTTTCTTGTGTCTATGGTGGATGTTAGTCCTCCTATTTATAGCTTGATTCAAGGAGGCAAGATCCTCAAATCAAGCCCCTCTTGAATGAGAATAAAATCGTCATGAATAGGCGTGTAACGGTTGGTTATAAATACATATATTCTCTGTAACGGCTGCCCGTTAAATGCTATCTGATGACAATGTTTTGAACCTTTCTTACAAGCTGCTCTATCTCCGAGATTCATTCAGTACTGATCGTGTGCTTGCACCTGGTGCCAACTGTTTGCTGACTCACACCCTACCTATCTTTAGTTCCACGTGTCACTCCATATTTCGCCCAGCTGTCATTAACCAATTTTACCTCATACAATTAGTCTATATCTCGTGACACGTGATCCAATTCCATAGAACAGAGAAATATATAGTCTTGAATCTGAAGAAAATTTATTTTGAAAAGAATGTCAGAAGTGTTATAATTTCCAAGTTAGTCACTTGGATCTAGCAGAGCTGAAGCTATTATGATTCTTTTGCTAACGGAAATATGTACTGTGGTTTTATACGTTCTTAGCAGATTGTCTTGTTTTAACAAGTATATGCAGTTGAAGGTACTGTAGTATTTTAGCTGTTGAAAATTTCTAAATGTTTGATCTTTTAATCTATTTCATGTAGATAGTCTTGTGTTAACAAGTTCTAGAGCTCATGTGGCTTTTGCGAGGTTAATAAGGATCCTTTTGCAAAAGCTGTGAGGTACGTTCTTTTGTTGTCCTCATGATTTGAAAGCATGTGAATTACGTGATAGACTAAATAAGTCATAAACGATAATAATAAGGGGATTAAAGTAGACAAGCATAAGAAATATAGTAATCTTGTTGAGATTTGTTATAAGCCATAATGCTGCAAAGTAAAGATCGACTGCC